CTCTCTCTCTCTCTCTCTCTCTCTCTCTCTCTGTCTCTGTCTCGCTTTCTCTCTCTCTCTCTCCCTCTCCCTCTCCCTTTCTCTCGCCCTCGTGCAAATCATTTTCGAGGGAACACAAAGGTGTGACGTGGTTTTCGACGACGCTCTGCTGCCGGCCCTGCTGGAAACCCTGGCGGAGGCCGCGTGCCGCACGACGAGGGGAGGGGGGCGGCCCAGCCTCTGCGTCTCGCACCAGAAGCGAAACCGTCGGCGAGAGGATAGTTTCTTCGCCGCCCTGGCGAAGCGTATCGGCGGAGGGGGGCAGCTGCGGATGGTGCACCAGCAGAACGATTTGTCGGTGCTCATGTTCACGTACTTGATGGTGCGACATTAGACTGATTGTCGGTTTCTACACTCATGTGCGTAGTCTTGTAGTGGGTGCTTGGGGATTTGACGGCGGTACGGCAGGGCGGGGCTCAAGTGGCACCCAATCACCATATCATGGGTGTGTGTGGCCTCGGTTTTGTAGGCCTTTGGCGGATCGGGAGTTGGTGATGCCGGTGCTTCATCTTCCCCGGGGCGGGTGGTCGGACGTGCAACCTCACACCGTCCGTCAGAGATCGTGTCTCGAGCGCGGGACATTTGAACAGCGAAGTTACGTTGGGCACACACACAAAGTATCGATCGGTTGCCTGTCGTGTCCGTCGCAATCTTGGAATTAGAGCCTAAAGGTTTTACGTAACCAGCAGTGCGTGACGTCTACCTGTAGCCAGCGGGTGGCGGTGGAGAGTGGGTCGCACACAGCGGTGAGATCATTTTGTATTATTACCCCGCCATTGAAGCCGATTGGTTGAGAAACGCCTTACTTATCGCTTACGCGCATTGAAGTAAATTGTTTTCGAGGGACTTGATGGGGAAATTTGCTTGACCTACTACGTCGCGTTTTTGTTTTCCTCGTAGAAAAAAAAAAATTGGATGGCGCGGCCGTCTATTTCGTGAAAATGCGTTCACTCGCCCCTTTGTGTTGGGGCGATCGAGGCCCCGTCATCCAGCGTCCATGCCGGGCTGGATAAAAAAAAATGTTTGAAAGCGTCTTCCCTTGGGTAGACGGACGGCACTTCCAAGCAAATCTAGGGCGACAACAGCACCACTTTGAGTACACATCAAAAATGTGGGTTCCATTCAGCAAAGTACTTTCAAAAAGAGAACACGACGACATTCCTTTCTGCCTATTCACTTGAGGGAAACACTACCTATAGTCTACCAAGGTAGAAGAACGGCTGTGTCACGGCATGCGACGAACTTTCGGTGGGCGGCACCGAAAGACGCGCGGGATACTAGTGATACAGGCTTCTCTCCCAAGAACAACAACAATATTTCTACCCAGGCACCATCTCCTCTTTGAAACCACACCGAAACGGTTGATTTTGTGTCCTGGTCGGAAATTCTGTACTTGTACATACATTTTTCGGCTTATTGCCCGGCTACACTTCGCAGAAGCGTCGTTCTTCTCCGGACACACACCGCTTATTGCGGGGGCGGCACAAGATTACGCCATGGTTACATTCTTATCACGTTAACGGAACAACAAGTTGATCAATATCCCTATTTACCTCCCTTCATGCACCCCCACCCACAAAACAAACTCCACAATAGTAATCCAAGGTAATAGTTCAATAAAAGCCAGCCGTTGAGGACGGCCAACGCGACTCGAGGGTCAACTAGCCATACAGGGACCAACAAGCTTACAGGAAAGACGCCACAGGAAAGACACCAAGAGATAGTTACCCACCCCCTTTGCCCGGCAAAGCCACGACGTTCGACCGTCACCAGAAAAACGAACGGCGCTATTTTGTCTACTAGCAAAGGGTGCCGAGCTCATCCCCGAGGTCCGACCCGGACACGAAGCAAGCGTCGTTCTTGACTGAGATTTTCACGGTGTCCGGGTAGGTGTTCCCGGTCATCGTCGTCTCCTGCGAGTTGTCGACCTCGAACACCAGCGCGTTATCGAATATGTTTCCTATTTTTAGTTGTGTTTCGGGCGGGCGGGCGGGCGGGCGGGTTTGTTTGGTTTTTCATGCTGAAGGGAGGGGCCGTTTTGCTTGCGTCTCGAAACCAATGATTTAACCCCACCGAGGGCCCATCACGGAATCCTCACGAACGATCTACGTACTATCGCTCTTGCGCTACGGGAGCTACTCGTTTGACTGTAGGTGTAAGGAACAAAAACCACAGAAGCAACAGTAGTCTGTATGTTCACAGGGTAGCTCGTTGGGGAGGGAGGTGGTGGCGGCAAGGACAACAAACGATGAGCTAATCGCAACATGAAGAACAACAGGAAAAACGAACCACACTCTTGTGACCACGGAAGGCGTCCGCGTCAGTTGGGTCAGTGCGGATATTAGAAGGTACCGAGCGGAGACCGGGGCTTTTTATGTGAAGGCAACAACAACAACAACAACAACAACAACAACAACAACAACAGCAACAAAACTCATGACCCTGCACCCACCGGTAATGCTGGTAGTCGTGGCCTCCTTCAGCTTGCCCATGTGCCACGTTCTGAAGACGTTGTTCTGGACGCTGGTGCCGAAAGGCCGGTACCCGGTGTAGGGCGGGACGTCCGGCTCGTTGCTCCCGATGTACGTGAAGAAACCGTAGCTGTAACGGACGGCATCAAGAACCCAGGTTTTGGAGGGACGTGTCAGGTTGAGAGATGGGTGGGGGGCGGCAGGAGAACGCGAAGCACAAGCGGTCGAAGCAGAGCAGGGGTGTCGGTCGCTTCATGTTGCACCGAACCACTCCCGAATTACGACGCAAGTCTGTAGACTACTGCTGCTGAATATTATTACCATTGGGCATGGAGTACAACAACGAACATACTACAGTACAGGCAGGCTTCGGCGACACGCGGCATCGAAGACTTGTGTTTCTTGGTACCTGGAGAGATCCGAGAAGGTGTTGCCGTAGACGACGTTGTTGCCGGCGCCAAGGGAAAGGCGCACGCCGTACTTGCAGCGCTCGATGAGGTTGTTGGAGAAGAGGATGTCGAAAGACTCCAGGGTGGCGAGACCGGAGTCCTGTCGCCGGCACGCGGCGGATAGCGCGGACGTAAAACCAAGGGAGTTAGACTTATCGTGATCTCGAAGGTGCGCGTTCTACCGCACGCAGCGTTGTAGAGAGAATCATTTGGATAAAAAGCGTCTGTGTGTTGCTTACCACGAGAAAACAGGGGAGCTGTTCGGTCGTCTCAACGTTACGTTCTACCAAACGCAGCGTCCTGGAAAGAATCATGGCTCCTCCGATAGAACCACAGATAATCAAGTTTCGGTACACAGACAGGTAGGTTTTGTCTCTGCAGCTTTCTTCGTGAGAGCGAGGAACGGAATCAGCCCCCCCCCCCGGGGCTTAACAAATGAAGCCCCCACTCAGACGGCTCCCACAACTACCCCTACCTACCGCAAACCTCAGGGCCACACCAATCATTCCTCCACACACGCACCTGCATGTCGTGGATGTGGTTCCCGGTCACAATAGCCGAGTCCGAGCTACGGTGGAGGAAGATGCCCGCCGCGGTGGAGCCGCCGTTCCAGACCTCGTTGTTCTGGATGCTCACGTGGTCGCACCTCTTCGAGGCGACTACGACAATACCAAGGGTAAGCGGAGGGTTTGGCAGAGAAAATAGACCGAGAGCAAGAGGGTCACATGGTTGCGGCAGAGAAAAGACACATGGAAGGTGTATCGTATATGTGTCCTACAGTAGTTACGTTATACCACGATCATAGCATATATATATTCTCCCATCATTGGACTCTGTCGTCTGCCCCTCTAGCCCCTATCCTCCACTTCCACTAGCTAGATATAGTGCGGCGGTCGTTTGCGAGGTGGTGTGCATTCGGTGTGGTGTCCGTCCCGCGGAACCCCGATGCCGGCAACAGAAGCAACAGCGGCGCTAATACAAGACCAAAGACTCTCACACTCAGTGAACAGAAAGAACAGGGGCGCGTATAACCAACAAGACTTTTAGGGTAAGTTTCTCCTTGTTTGCCGTGGATTTCTATTTGAGAGATGCTTCTACCGTACCAGTAATGTGAGTTCGCGACAGGATTTTTCGTTCTACGGAACCCCCACAGCGGCAACAGAAACAACTAAACGCCCAGGACGAAAAAGAGCAAACTTCTTGCCCAAGACTCACCGATACAACCAACAACGAAAAAAATTAAAATAGACAAAAATAAAGTTGTGCAGCTTCTCGTCAAGACTCACTGATTCCGTGCTTGCCGTTGTTCCAGACCTGACCGGAGTATTTTGTTGTTGCATCGTCGCGGAGAGCGAAGGTAGAGAAACAGGCGAAGGACGAGCGGTTTCTTTGGCGAAAGGATCGTCTTGGTTATATAGCATCGCCGAGATAAGGATCGATGAGTGCTTGATGTTGACCTATGCATCCCCAACACAAAGACCACCTTGGCGTCGACAGCCAACACATATTTACTTCGAATATCATGATCTCAGAGCAGAAAAATCAACAGCGAAGACAAAAAATTATCGCATGTACGGTGGCGTCAACCAACATTGAAAAGACGGCTTGGGAATGAGTCGCATTCCGCACGCGGAACCGGCGTGATCGCAGACTCCAGCGTACGTACTCCTGTCCGGCTTGTGGTTTCTCCTCCAAACACCACTGCTTGATTTTCTCGTCATTTGTTCTTCCATTACCCGCTCGATCCCCCCAGTGTGACTCACTCTTGACAAACGCGCGTTTTTTTTCTACGCGGTCGATGTAACGTCTGGACTATAGAAGCTGAAATCAACCCATTAGACTAGTCAGCGGCTGACTAGTCTAATGGGTTGATTTCAGCTACTATAACAGTACGTCGTGGGGCTCGGTGAACCCGACACTTTCCTTCCGAGGAGGGATGCTCCCCTCGCCAGCCGCTACTATCCATCCAATGTCTCTTTCACTCCCGTTATTCTCGACTCATCACCCACATCCGTTCTAGAATGGATGTCCAGGGTCTCCGACGACGAGCTTTTTTCCTTCTCTCACTCTCGTAAGAGTCGAACGTTTCCAGGAAAAAGTGCACCGACTGGGTATCGAACCCACGACGTACTTTTATAGAAGCTGAAATCAACCCATTAGACTAGTCAGCGGCTGACTAGTCTAATGAATGGGTTGATTTCAGCTTCTATAGGACTCACCAGGTTGTTGTGGATGGTGAGGTAGTCGCTGTCGTCGTGGGGGTCGAAGCCGTACCTGTGGCATCCGTAGCGAGAGCACGGCACGGCAGTGAAAATAACGGAGCCAGCCGTGGAGAGTTGCGGGAACGAAAAATAAACGATCGCGATGCAAAGGGGGTCGGGGCCACCCTAGGCACACCCAGCTGCACGTGTACAACGTACGGTCCTCAAGCGGGCACGTGTTGGACGGGTCGCCCGGTACGGTAGTTGAGCGTCTCGCGCGTGTGCACCGCGACACAGATGCAAATAGGCTGGGCGTTATCGACGACCGAGAGGGCTTCCCCCTCCCGAAAATTATGGCTCTGTGTGTGGGAGGGAGGGTGCAAGCCTGCGCGGGGTCTTGATGGGCAACATGACGTCGTTTCGGCACGTACTGTTGGCATAATGTCTCTCACCATTCGTTGTCGTGCATGCGGTTCCCGGTCCACAGTCCCCCGAGGTGGCCGTACCTGTGGCGAAAGCAAACGCGCACGACCACATGACAAAATCGTACCCGACGGTGAAATGACATCACATGTATGCATAAGCCCTCTCCCAATTGTAAGATGGGAGGCGCGTGCAACAGTGATTTAGCGCCGGGCTTCTGCCCGGCATTGAGAGGAGGGGCTGAGACCCTGAAAGAATCGATCCCCCTCTCGGACACCTGGCCTTTATACTTAGCCCCGCGGAACGTCACAGCACTCACGTGTAGAGCCCGTAGAAGAGGTGGTGGATGTTGCTGTCGATCACGTCGCCGTACGTGTTCACCTCGTCGAAGATC